GCGGAGCCCGCAGAGAAGGGCGGCCGCCCGGCAGCCGGCGCGAGCGGACCCCTGCGACGCCGCAGCTCCGGGAGGGGCCGCTCGGCCGCGGTCCCCTGCGTCCCAGGGATGCGCCGCGCCCCTCCCGCCCCAGCGCGCAGTTGGATGCTTCCCTCCCCACCTGGCGGGGAGCACAGGCCCTCGGCCCCGGGCGAGCTCGGGCCAGGACCCGATCGCTCTCGGCTGCGGCCGCCACACTCACCTCGCCGCCGGGTAGCATTCGGGCTTGGGCTCGGGTTCCGGCGGCGGCCCCGGCGGCGGCTCCTCCATGGCGGCGGCGGAGGTGACGGCGAGGGCGGGAGGGGGGGCCAGCTCGGCGGCAGCTTCTCTCATCCGTGCACAGAGCCCCGCATGGCCGCGGCGGGCAGTAAGCTGCAGCCTGGCGCGGGGGACCGGAGCCCGAAGTGCGGGAGTGACTCGGCTCCGCCTCCGCCTCTAGCCCGCCGCAGGAGCCGTGCGCGCAGCGGCCATCTTGGAGACGGCAACCGGCCGAGCGCCGGGCTACGGCGGGCGGCGAGGGACAAGCCTACCAGGGCGGCGGCGGCGGTGGCGGGCGCCGGATTCCAGCGGGGCGGGGACCGCCGGGAGAGGAGGGGCGGGGGAGCGCGGGTCCCCGGCGGCCGCGGCCCGGGAGGCTCGTCAGGTGTCCGTGGGATTCTGCCCCGCGGCCGGTCTCGTCCGATCGCCTGGTCTCGCGGTCGGGACAGCGAGGACCGTGGTGCGGAGGGGGGCTGTGCGGTGGTCCGGCGCGCCCAGGCTGGTCACCCGAGAGAGTGCACCCACCGGTGGGCAGCGAGGCTGGGCAGTGATTGAGAACGTGTGAAATGTTTTGGAAACTGGAGCTAGTAGGTCGGCGACAAAGGGACAAGCCATCGACCCCGTCTTTCAGATACAGGGATAGGTGTCACCCAGACGCTCACTACTGGGATCCGATGGAGGCGCAGTCAGTGCTGGGACATCTTCAGATGTCTGAGACTTGAAATCGAGTCTCAGGAGATTCAGACCATTGAAGTGACCCCCCAGGTCAACCAGGCAGAAAAGAACACTATTCTCACCCCACCAGAACAAGATGAAATACCGATCTTCCAGAACCTTAGACTTGAGTGCTCCGACACCGAAGCGTGGGGGCGGGGTGCGAAGGGAAGTTTTAAAAATCCTTTCAGAGTTATAGAAATACTGTTGAAATCTCAAGCCGGGCTCGGTGACTCAGCCTGCAATCCCGCGCCTTTGGGAGGCTGAGGTGAGTGGATTGCCTAGTTCGAGACCCGCCTGGGCAACTTGGCGAGCCCTCATCTCCACAATAAATCAAAAAATCAGCCGGGCGTGGTAGCGCGCGCCTGTAGTTCCAGCTACTTGGAAGGCTGAGGCGGAAGGATCGCCGGAGCC